ACTGTATGTGCGCATTCGGTTTGCTATTTTAGTCCGCAAACTGAAGAATCGCGCGGATGAAAGTTTGAGATGGCGGCGAAAAAAACTCACAAAGATTTACTAATTGCGACATTTAAGAAATGGGAATGCCAGTCTGATTTTTCGTATGAATCGTCCAAAGGGCGTATCACTAAACTCACCTGGGATGTATGCACAGAACACGAGAGCGACATACGACGGGACGCACGATTACGAGGCAAGTTGGTCATTAGATCTGTAGGCTAATCGCTATGAAAAATATGATGAAACAGTATCGGTTATTCCATAATTTACTGGTTGTAGCATGGTAACTTTATGAATAAAACATTCGTCACAAGGTGTAGTAATGCTAATGTTAACTGTTGGTAGAACCAATGATGACGTGTGTTAAATTTGAAGGTTGTTTGAAAAAAATGCCGACCGTAAAGTTTTTTTTCGAGGTCGAAATTCTCGGTCGGGCGGGTTACCGGAAACACACTACTGTTTTGTCTGCGCCTAACAAGGGACACTCAACTTCGGACGGACAGTTTCGAAGTTATGTGCTCAAGCATGCCAAAGATGACTCATAACCCATATATAGTAAACAGTGTGGGACTTCACTATCAATGTATGAGGTAAGAATCAACAGCTTTTTATCACATTTACACAACACTTTATGAATACAAGTAATGAACAAATCTTAAATATGGCAGGGAATGTGTTTCCTTTTTTAGGTTTGATTTTGAGCAGCAAATTTGGAGTTACATATTGGTGCTCACCAGGAATGCATAGGCAAAATTGCACAAATTTTCACTTGAAAGAATAGTGGCAATCTTGGGATTTTTTTCTGTTCAAGTTTCAAATAGTGTGTAAATTCAATACACTTCATCTTCAGCATGTTTAGTGCCACTTTTGTAACTAACCACGCCCCCGTCCAGACCACGCCCCTCCCAGGCCACGCCCCATCCAGGCTACGCCCCCTTCCGCTTTTTTCATCACTTGCCATTGCCGTCACTGATGTTAAAGTGTCTGTCATGTCTCATTTCATGGAGAGGCTAACCCTTAAAATGTCAAAGTGTCTGTTGATTATAGATGATGGTACTGGCGCCGAGAGGTGTCCTGCCCACTGTGTCAAAAGGCCGGGTCGGGGGTGCGGCATGTCAATGGGGGGGAGTATTTTTCTGACATGTCACTTGCAATTTGCATAACCTGTCAATAAATAGCTCAGCAGGGGCTACGTAGGTCGGTCAGTTTTGAGAAGCGAACATGAGTGTGTGGCTTCAAAACCGTGCCCCCTGCTGGCAGTAAAGACAATCCTCCCTGAGTCTGAGTTCATTGTTAAAATTTGGTTGGAGTGCGTCTCTGACAGTCATTCAACCGTAATCCTATTCCATAAGATACAGCAATAACTGACCCACACAAATGTTCTTGACAAAAAAAAAAAAAAAAAAAAAACCTTTTTCCGCACTAAAAGGCGCATCTAAAAGCCATTTTCTTAAAAGCTCACAGTGCGTCTTAAAATCCAATGCGCCTTTTGTATGGTTATTACGGTAATATGTTGACCCCCGAAATGGCTCCTTGCTAGAGACATGCTTACAACGCAGAGTTCAAACTTAAGGCGCTCGGGTTATGCAGTTGAACACGGAAATAGAGCAGCACAAGAGAGTTCAACATTAACAAGTCAATGTTATAACTTGCTGTTGGTTAAGTGAACTGTGTCGCTGCTTTATTAAATAAGTTATACTGACATCTGATCGTTCTGTTGGCATTTCCTTGAGACTAGCTCCATCTAGTGGATGCATTGTAGATTGCGTCTATAATGCGTTGTGTTCAATATATGAAAAAGATGTAAAATAGGCCATTCATTGAAGGTACCCCTCATAATCCAGTGCCCCTTTTAGTGTGGAAAATACCGTATTAAATTTCAGACACATTGTTATAGACGTAATATTGACCGATACAATCGGCTGGCCGAGTCATCTGTCAGGCCCCGGTTGATGTACCATTGTCGAGGGTGTTGCTTACTTAACTCTGGACTTGGTGTTTCAGTGAAGCCTGTGGATCACACCAGCATCATCGTGGCCACCATCACGTTCATCGCTGTTACGGTCCTGTCTGTAGGCGTCGGCATTTTTGTCTACAGGAAGAGACGACGTGAGCACCGTAACGGGACGTTACAGCAGCGACAAGCAGATTCCCCAAGCTGCGTGTATACTGACACCGGGGAAAATTTCCTGCCTGGTGAGTGGGATCAGTCATCAATCATCAATTAGATGTGATCAATCAATAACAACTGAATATTTTTTCAGCTGCAGCAGCTGAGACATCGCAAGGTACACTTGGAAGACACGCTGTGGTCATATGATACCAGGTTTGTGATACCACTGATTTCTGAAAAAAATGCTTTTTTTTTTCCTTTTAATTTCAAATAACGTGTCTTTATTCATCTGCAGGTGAAACCCAAAGTTTACATTTGCTATTTAAAGAAACACATGCTTCCCTGTTCGTTACGGTCACCACTTACCACTCAAATAGGGCTGGGCGAAAAATGTATTCACGATATAAGTGCAGTGCGCCCCGTAATTATTGGGACCCCTGGAGAATGCACAGCGTAAATGTGCATGTGCTCACATCTTTCCTGGTTTGCCAGGTTCTTCTTCAGATCAGTAGATAAGCACTTAGTGGACTCGGTTCACAAAAATTATTCTCTTACACTCAACACATGCATTTTGGTCAAAATCTTCGTATGTTCCTTGTTTTAAAATTGTTATAGTAGCCTCTGCCTCCATCCCGTACAATGTGTTTCAGTTCGGGTTCAGTGTTTTCTTCCCGATTAAAAAAAATATAGTGTGTCAAACGATTTAAATATTTAATCACGATTAAATGTATAAATGTCGGAGTTCACTCATAATTAATTGCAATTTATCACACATTTTTATCTATTCAAAATTTCCTTTGATTTCTTTTTCTCCTATTTTTTTTCCCCCATTTTAATGCACTCATCAACATGGAATAGTGGATCAGTTTTCTTTGTGTAAAATGCAAATATACCTGTATATTGAAACAACAATTTCAATTTTACATTAACATTTTTCACTTGGAGCAGTTATTCACACTTGGAACACATCATCTCTCACACAATATAACTATCCATCAATAACAGTGAAAAAATATTTTGTCACAATAGCTCCTTTAACAGCCATTTTTAGGGAATCAAAACAGAGGAATATAAGTTTATAAAGTGCACATCTAAGGTAAACTAGCACTCAGCATATAGTGCAGTTAAACCATTATTTATTACTTAATTACTAAGGGAAGTCCAGTAATCCCCGGTGAGCGCGACTGCTTGTGTCTTCTCCAACGCTTGGTGTACCTTAGCCTTCTCCCCTTCTACATCAGCTGTGTGCTTGGCCGTTAAGTGGTATTTCAGACTCAACGTGCTCCGATGATAGCTCAGTTCACGACTGCAAAACACACAGATAACTTTGTTCTTGTCAGTGGAACCATATGGCAAGTTTGTAAATGTAAATTTTCCATTCATAAGCTCTTTAGTATCCATTTACGGTGTCTCGCGCTGCTATACGCTCAAGCCGCGGCTGACCAAACAGACTGGCCCGTGGACCTGTGCGGCGCGCTTGTTGTTTTCTTTCGTTTCCGCTTTATTTTAGAGCAACGTAACATCCGGTGTGGAGTGGTGCTGCATTAATCTCACGATAAAAAAAAATTATCCCGTTAAAATTAATGCCGTCATTAATGCTGATAATAACACGTTAAACTGACAGCACAAAAAATAAATTTTATGAACATTCTGTTTTGTTTTTGTTGTTTTGTTTTTAAATATTGACCACATGTCTATCGTGATACATACCGATTTTGATGTATCGCCCAGCTCGACACTTCAATGACATTGTAAAATAGGCTGCTAAATCAGGATTCAACACCTGAGATAGAAGGCGAAAAATTGGCAAGTTTCAGGAGCACTACCTTATTTAAAATGAAGAATACACATGCGAAAATGAATGCTGGAAGCGCATCCAGTCTCCGAGCCACTCTGCAATATGTAAACAATATTTACACTTTAGATATTTGAGACAAAGATTACAACTGTACAGGTATTTACTTAAATCTTTAATATATATATTAAACCTTATACAGTAATGAACATTCAACAACAACATTGAACAACATTGTCTTCTGAGAGAGGCGAAGAAGACACTTGTGTTGATGTGTGTGGGCTTTCGGTTCACTCTGAGACTCTTCTGCTGGAGGTGCTTACGGTATAACTGAGATTTTTAAATTGGAGAAAAACATGGTGATAAGCAGCACTATGATGTTCATCTTGTCTTCTTATTAGGTGAAATACGTTTAAGGTTTCTTTTTGTATCAGACAATGGTCCTTTTTTTTTTTTTTTTTTTTTTTTTTTAATGTGTGAAGGAAAACCCTCTGACTGAGCTGACAGTTTCGGCTGTCACTTCAGCCTTCGTCTGAGCTGTCATTGCTTCCTTGTGATGTATCTAAAAGAACAGCTGACCAGGTTGAAAAACTTTTAAAATAAGGCTTCCCAACCCGGTCAAGGCTGCGAACCCGGCGCCTTGTCGCCATTAAAGCAATGTCTCTCTGTTGGTAGTGCCACCTCCGTAGAGGGATGGATGGGCTTACATGATCCCACACACCTGGGACGCATTGCTTCAGCGACAGCAAGTGGGTGGAGCGCAGCTTAACGAATGAAAAAAAGTTATCGCTTAAACAAGAAAAGTTATCGCAAACACAACACAACAACAGCGTGGACCATACTAACGAGACCAAATGCTGGGTGAGGCTGCGATGATGCACAGCCAATCAGCTCACGGGATAAATCCACTCGTGCTCTCGTTGGTCAATCTTGCACTGGGAACCAATCACATGCCTGGTATGATGGCCCGTGGCATGTGCAGTATAAAACAGCCATGTACAAAGCCTCTGAGTCGTTCGACATGCAGAGAAACCTTCTCGCGCATTTTGATGGCGGCGCGGACACCCGCGGCGGCTCCTCTTGTTTGATGTTGAGAGGGAAGAAATTTCATCTGTGCTGTATGTTTTGACAATAAAGTTCAGAGATGAAAGTCCTCCGGATTTTCCCGGAATTCCGGGTTTTTCAAATTTTGATGAAAATCTCTCCGGAGAATTGAGGAAAATTTGCCTAAAATTAATCCGGATATTAGTTGACAACATTGAACGAAGACGCGTTTGAGTTCGTTGTTTTGCTTTCACGAGCGTAGCCATGTTGAGACACTAACACTAGTAACAGTGAAGAGATTTTCGTCTCTTTATAAACACACTTGCTAAACCCCAGTGGAACGAATAAAAGACACCGTGGACAAGACAGTTGTCATAAAAAATATATTTGGACAAAAAGGGAAACACACAGATTGGCAGAAAAACGTGTCCATCCGACTTCGAGTGTCGTCTCGGCTAGCTTAGCCTAGCTGTTGTCATGTGTGACGTTGGGTGTGTGACGTCGTTGCGTCGGCGCTGATTGGTTGAAATCAAAAGACGCGCTTGCGTACATGTTCGCGCTGACGCGCGCACAGCAGAGAGCAGCGGACTAGCTAGAGTGGCGTCGCCACAACAGTAATACCCTCGCCTCGCATTCTCATGGCCTCGCCATATCTCAGAGATTTCGAAATTTCGGTGATAACGGAAGCCACAAAGGGTGCATGAGCCCGATCACTTAACTTGATTTGCAGGCCCGAGCCCGAAGCAAACCCGAGATTTCATATTTTATTTGTGAGGACTAGGGAGGAGGAGGGGTGATTTCTGATAACAAAGCTAAGTTAAACAAAACTGGATAAACATTTACATCTTTTATATTTCTGTTTCTGAAGAGGTTACATTAACGGACAATTTTCCATCATTGCCGGATTTTTTTTCAGAGTGGACGGGGAAAATTTAAGGCTGTCCGTCATGTTGACGCGTTGAAAATTGGGCCATTCACCACAGTAACAGTACGTCCTTAAGAATGGAGCGCGGCACTTGAAGAGAGAGAAGCAGCGAGATAAAAAAGAACAATGACGGCTGGATCATAAAGATATGAAGGAGTTCTTTGAATTGTCATTGCGAGAGTTTAGTACAGTACGTGTTGTGATGACGCCACTTCTGTTTTTTTGAGAACCACGGTCTCTCGTGGCCAAAACAATTAACGGACTCGAAGAAAAAAAAAGTCAGCGAGAGAAAAGCCCGACCCGAACCGAACAATGATTGACATTTTTAGACCCGACCCGAAATTTGGGTCGGGCGGCCCGATATTACCTATAGTGTACATAGTGTGTGTGTGTGTGTGTGTGTGTGTGTATATATATATATA